AACACAACATTTGTATTTTACTGCTTTATTTCTGAGTGAAACTAGAAGTTCACAGAGAAAAGAAAAATTGGAGGGAACTTCATCCATCAGAAATTGATTGGATCAGCTGAAAAGTTGTTTCCCAGGCAGAAAAAGTTATTACATTTTATGATGAAATATGATGTCAAATATAATTGTCTTTGCAATAATAGTAACACTTTATATTGATAGTCCACTTTAGACATTCTGCTGACTGTAAGTAACTTTGCAGCTACATGTCAGCTACCAGTCACTAACCCTAACAGTCTACTAATAGTTTAATGAAAGTTATTTGACATGTAGTTGAAAATGAATGAGAGTTAGTTGACATGCAGTTGAAAATGAATTAGAGTTAATAGAATGTGTAAGGTGGACTATCAGAATTAAGTGTAACCAGAATTACTTGTGTGGATAAATAATTCACAGTAAGGCCAACAAAATGTATAAAGATAGTAAATTGAATTGATTTTGAGTTCATGTTGACAAAATCTGCTCAAAAACTGAAAACAAGTCTTGAGATAATGTCTGGTCCTGGCTAACAGAGACTGTTTTCTCTAGCGAAAGTGATGGTTAATCTGGTGAAAACATAGTGCTTTGCCCTGTTGTTGATGTAGGTTAGTTTGTGCCCGTCTATCCAGCCCCCACACACCTACGCAGACTCCCACAACAACACGAGCACAGATGGCACACTCAGGGGGTTCTGGGAGAAACCAGGCAGTCCATCAGAAAACAGATTTCCCACAGAGAGAGAGGTGTATTAGAGAGGAGGGTATGGGAAATTCGATAGTTGACAGTATGGACTCTGCTCACAAATTTAATGCAGCTGTTGGTCTGAGCAGAATTTGAGTTTGTGAGTGAACGAAATAGAGGTAATACTGTCTGAGACGGACACGGGTGCATTATGAATGTTCTATTTGTGAAGCTCCGGTCCTGCTACTGGTTTAATCACACCGACTGCACGGCTTGGCTGAGCAGCTGGATTCATATTACAGCTGCTTGGCTAGCTTACCCTATTCTTACCCGATAACTATCAGCAGCCATACCAGTAAGGTTGTTTTTTTTCTTCCCCGCTATGGGGCTCAGGGCATTCCACCTGATCTCACTATGAACTTGTCTTCATCTTGTTCTCTTCTTATTGAAACCATTCTGAGTTGACCCAGACACACACCACAATCTCTCTGACCCACACACCTGCAGCATCCTTTCTATGACTTTCTATGACATCCTTTCTATGATATCCTTTCTGGGTGTACCAATTAATGTGAGTAAAAAAAATGCAATTACGAGGGCAATTATGAAGTGGTGTCTCATGGGAGATAAGGAAGAGAATGAAAACGTATTATAACCTGCTTTCCTCTTGTCTGTCCTCTTTACACCTCTTTCTCAAGGGGGGAAACAGCTGTGCAAACTTTTGAGAGCGCCAGAATTAATTTCAGTCTGAGGTGCCTCTTGTGTTGTTGATAGGAGGCAGAAAGATTGAAGGGCAAATTCACTATAAACAGTTGTGCCACTTTATTTTTAGTATTTCTGTCCAGAACCCTGCGTAGCAGTGGTGTAGTGATGCTGTACACTCTTAAAAATAAAGGTGCTTCAAAAGGTTCTTCAAGCGATGCCATAGAAGAACCTTTTTGTCTAAATGGTTCCATAAAGAACCTTTAACATCTGAAGAATCTGAAGAATTCAGATTACAAAAAGGTAAGAAAGAGATGGTTCTTTAAAGAACCTTTGACTGAATGGTTCTTTGTGGAACCAAAAATGGTTCTTCTATGGCATCGCTTGAAGAACCTTTTGAAGCACCTTTATTTTTAAGAGTGTATGGTAAAGTGCTGTCACTACAACATAAATCAATACCAGGTAACTGTAGTAACGGTAGATGATGGGTTGTAACGCTAATAGAAAATATGGAGCAGGGGCATTTCCTTGAAGGGGGCAAAGGAGGCAATGTCTCACGGCCTTGAATTTTTCCCCATTCCACTGCCCGCGACTTGTTTTTCAAAGCAAAAATACATTCTGTGTGAGTGGCCCCTTATATTCATAACTTTACTCACCATAAACACTTTCTTAGCTGCCATAAAACTGGATTTTTGCTCACTTTGTTCCTGTGTGCTAACTTAAGTTTGGGTTTGATTCTGAGGTAACACAAAATGTGTAGCTTCAATCCAATGGGACATTCAGTTCCCATAGAAGCCTCTGCCAAATAACAAACATACTGTAAATATTTAACCATTCACAGAATTTAACTGCTTAGCTAATCTCAGAATGCATTGCAACAAGCTCAGTAAAAAGATACTTAATTCAGTACCAAAAAAGTAATAAATAGTTCTAAACACAACTAAATGAAATTCAGTTGAATTAAAATCTTGCTCAATATTTGTTTGTTCTGTATTTTTGTGTGTTAGCTTAGCAACATGCTAATGTCAAACTCTAGTGACCGTTACCACACAACTGGGATTTTTACTCCACAAAGTGAGTGGACCCTGTGTTCATTTGAATTAGGATGTGCTTCATGTGAAGAAGAAAGGGTGTGTGGGGGAGAGTGCCATTTTACAGTAACAGAGTGTTTTTACACTGTAGTGGAAGGGAGGGCCTGTGGCTCTTTTAATTGGCTGCGTATGAAACAGCTGTCATGCCCGCCGTTTGGGCTGTAAGTCTTAATTAAACAGAAGTGCATGCTGGGCCGGCTGCAGCCTCACCGATAAGCGGAAGATGTTGTGTGAATCACACTGATGTCTCACTCGCACAAACACACACGTAGACAAGGGTGGTGTATCCGTGAGTCCGTCTCTCTCCATCACATCACCTCTTTCACTTAAACAGACATGCAGCAGGATGCTAACAGACAGCTTTGCTTATGTCATTGAAAGTTTACTGTAGTCCCAATGCACTAGTCTGCTTGAGCAGTGTTAAGGGAAGGACGCAGTGTAGATGCAACGGAGGCTGTTAAAGGCTCATCTTTTATTCAGCATGGATGCCTACTGATTTGAGGCACTCAAATAAGAGATGTGACTGTGCTAATGTTGTTCCCCCCACAATCAAGATTCATGAGGACTAGGTGCATGTTTGTGCCTGAAAGAGAAAGGAGAAGAAAGGGAGATGGTACAGCTTTCTTTAGATTTCTTTTGCTCGGCTTCAAAGCATTGCTGCATTCTCAGCACGATTTCTATTTTTAGCGGCCTCACTGCATCAAAGCTTTAATTCCCTGTATGTATACAAATGAAACCATTATTTAGAACACTTCACCAGTCTTATATGCCGCAGTGTGACACACATCAGATAATTTTCTAATTATTTACCTTGTAAACTGCATAGAGCCTGTTTTACACCACACGTAAAGTGGCCTTATTAACAGGTTGCAGCATTCACACTGCACGCTTAAGCAGCACTTCTAGTGGAGTTTCAACAGGGAGTTGTTTTGTGCCCTGTGTAGCACGGTGATCTCAGAAGAAAATATGTTGAAAATGCACTATAAACCTATTTATCAGCACAATTGTAAGCAATAAAGGGATTTTTTATGAAGTAATATAAAATAACAGTGAACTACTCACACATTGTTTGAAAAAACAGCTTTTAGGCTTGATGAACAGGCATTTTTGGCGATCAGATCATGATCGAATGGCACTTAAAATTAAAAGCCCAGTATACAGTAAATGCACCCAAGATGCATTAGAAATTACATTTGGAGGGGGTCTGGGACAGATTGTAATCACATTTAATGAATATGTAAATGCAAATGTGTTTTTTTGCACATTCAGCTATGCAAGAGGTTACGCTGCAAATAAAGCATCACAGATATGCCACTTTGTACACTTATGCCAATCACGTACTGAAATGTTAGTGTTTTTTTTTTTTTATGGGTCTGTGGCATTTTCTTTTTATTCCGGTCTAAAAAAGATAACAGACACAGTTCTCTTGTGATCTGCCCACCTGATTTAGTGATCAATACCCCATGAATTATTGCACTGGACTATACTTTTTCCGTATTTATTGTTTTTCTCACTCAAATTTTTCTGTGTATTTTTGTGGAAATTAATAAATTTCCTTACTTTTCATCACTTTTACTTCCTATTAACTTTTACTGTGGGAATATTCGTAAAAAAAGGAAACACAATAGACCATATACTGTACCAGATTCAGTTATATTTTGTCATTTAATTACCATTTGGATGCAAATTTACTTTCACAACAATCAAGTTTGTAATTCTTAAAGGCCAACTCCTGATAGTCATTTCATAATTTACTAAAGGAAAAAAAATCAATACGGTAACTCGAAATCATTTTATTTTCTGTGTAGTTCCACAGTTCTGTTACGCAGCGGAAACACTCTTGTGAAAGGATCATGCGTGCCTGCTGTTGTAATTGGGCTACTGCATCATTTACGTGCTGCTTTTGCATGCAGTGTGAAACGGACCTGAGATTCATGCACAGCTGCTCTTTGCAACAACAATGTGATGAACCCACAAAGGAAAACTGAAGAGGAGACAGTGGCATCTGAATATTCACCCAGTTTGCTGAATTTGCATGATTTTCTCCTTCACCTCTGACTTCTCTTATACAAGTACTACCTTTACCTTTATTGCTGCTAAAGGTGTTATCATACGATTAGTCAAGGTTTATCGTTTAGCCATTTAGTTTGACCATTGTTTGTGTTCTGCCCCTTTGAAGTAATTGCTTTTTTGCTGCTGTGCCTTTAAGACTTCTCTGTAAACAGCATAACTGTGACAGATTCACAAAACAATCTGCTTTGAAATGTCCCATATAACCAGTTAAGATCACACTTAAATGTTAAAAATAAACTTCAGCTGCTCGTTTCCAACATTTTGATCCTTTGGGTGAACATGCAGAGCAGTAAGTGCTACACATAGCCAGGAATAGCACAGAGTTTTGTGGACTTTTCCACATTTTACACTTGTTAATTGTTCTTCTGGTGTTTAGGAATAATAGTGTCTGTCCTACTTCATACTTGTCTCATTGTGGCTTGGCAGGCTGTCTACATCACAAAATTACATCACACGGACTATTTGCGAGCTGAAGAAGAATGCGGACAAGGGAAGTATACTTTGGTCTTAACTCAAATTAAATAAAGAACACATTTAACAAGTAGTTGGACAACCCCATGGTTTAATATTTTTACACAGCCTGCTGAGGAGGCGTGCCTCGAAAGAGACATGGAAACAGATTGTAACTTGGCAAGTGCAAACAACAACAACAGCAGCAGCAGGCATCACTGTAGCCCGGGGCCTCATCTGTCCGACTGAATACTGTTGCTTTTTTTTTTTTTTCATTCTTCCGCTCTCTCCCATTTCTTCTCCTCTGCCACCTCAACTTTCAGCCCTTCATGTCACGGAGCTCCGCCTGACTGACGTCTCTCCTCAGGATGGCTGACACCAAACAGGAGCTGGATTCACTTCCTGAGGCAGTCAAGAGGAACTTGGCTCAACCCTGCTGCGGCACATCTCTAGTTATATTACAACTGGAGTTTAGATAAAGGCTTTGTGAAAGATTTCACAAAGAATACTCTGCGAACAAGCATTTACTCAAACTTTTCACTACAGAATGCAGCCATTATTAACCATCGGCATCTGGGGGGGAAAAGAAAAAGGTGAAACTTGAAAATGGTAAAGTTTGATGTTTATTTATTATTTTTCCACAAATAAAAAGAAAGTACTCATGCTGAATCACCACAGGAAAGAAAATAAAGGCTAAGTCCGTATACCAGTACCAATCTTGCTCTCCTCAGAACATTAGATGAATAATAGCACTCTATGAAGCTTGGAATGCAGTAAAAAAGTCCAAGCTTTAGTCATGTCCTCCTCCACATAAATGTGTGTGTATATGTGTGTGATTTGTGTGGGCATATCAGTGTGTGTACATTTGTGTATAAGCAAATGTGTTTGTAAGGTCTGCGTGACCTAGTCCTCAGAGGTTTTGATGACCTGGAACAATGTGACATTGTAGAGGACTTGATGTCCGTTGTTCCAAGTGTAGAGCACTCTTTCTCGGGGGTTGTAGTCCATCATGGAAATGTGGGAGTATTGGTTATGGAAGGGGATGTCTGTGTACTCATAGGTTGAGGTGTTGGTGTAGTATGCGAAGAAGATCTTAGCACCGGCCAGGTGGGAGTTAGTGACGTAGAGTGTGCCGCAGATCATGAACGACTCGCCAGCGCTCCGTTTAGGGAAGCCTGTGTCCCACGTCTGAAGCACTTCTAGGCTTTGTGGCTCCAGACGGCTAATGACGATGTTTCCAGCATTGGGAATGGTGGTGTAGACGGCCCATAGCCCGTTCTCGTCGGCCATGAGGTCGATGTCAGATGATCCACCCCAGGAGTAGGGAAAGGTGTTGTTGTAGCCCGCGCCGCTAAGGCTGCGCTGCACCAGGATGCTTCGGGATCGGAAGTGGTACTTGATGATTATGTTACTCTGGTATTTATTGTAGTAGAGGGAACCATTGTACACCACGTGACCCGTACCAGCCCAAGGGTGGGGCAGGAGATGCTGCACAAAGTTCTGGCCCTTCATGAAGTCATTCATTGTGCGATACTCCAGCACACGGCGTCCCTTAAAGTAACCGTCCATTGACCATACCTGAGACAGAAGAAGATATGCAAATGTAAAATGCATGATAGATACAAATGAAGAAAAAAACAAACATACAGCACAGTCCAAAGTGTAGAGCATGGTGCTGGTCATAGGTTAGAATCCCAGGGAATGCGTATAACATTTTAAATGTACATGTATATACTACAGTGTTATTATATGCAGTGCTATTATCATTTAAAAAAATAAGATATTTTGTTAACAGAAATAAAAATAAAAACTAAACTAAGAAAAACTGAAATCCATCTGGCGATTCTCCACTCTCTACCCAACAAAATGGAAAAACAACTTCTGCTCTCTTGAATAAATAAGGACTTTTCAAACTCTGCTGCTCTGTTTCATTGAAACATGGCTGAATGAAGCCCTTCCGGACAGCATGTTACATCTGCTGGGCTTCCAGCTGTTCAGAACAGATCGCGACGCAGAATCAAAAGGGAAATCGCGTGATGGTGGGGCATGCTTTTACATCAACGAAAGGTGGTATACAGGTGTAACAATGTTGAAGAAGCTGTGCTGTCCCTTTTCATCAACTTTAAGCCATTTACTCGCCGCGGGAGTTTTCCTCTGTATTCGCGTAAGTGTTATTACATTCCTCCACAAGCATGCGTGATCGTAGCGTTACAGCAGCTAGCTGATCAAATCACAGAGCAACTATACCCGGTCATAATCATTCTTGGAGACGTTAATAAAGCAAATCTATCCTGTGAACTGCCAAAATATAGTAAGCACATTACATGTCCAGTTTCGGTAATATACTGGACCACTGTTACACCACAATAAAGGATGCATAACACTCTGTCCCACGGGCAGCTTTGGGGCTCTCTGATCACTGTCTGGTTCATCTTATACAGACCTACAGGCAGAAACTGAAATCAGCTAAACCTCTAATAAGGACTGTAAAATGGTGGACTAATGAAGCAGAGCGGGATTTACAAGCCTGCTTTGACGGCACTGATTGGAGTGTTTTTGAAGATGCTGCCACCAATCTGGACGAGCTCACAGAGACTGTAACATCATACATCAGTTTATGTGAGGATATGTGCAATCCTACCAGGACTTACAATGACAAACCATGGTTCACAGGAAAACTCAGCTTCGTCAGGCCAAAGAGGATGCCTATAGGAGTAGGGGACAGAATCTTGTACAATCAGGCCAGGAAACACACTGACAAAGGAGATCAGAGTGGCTAAGAAGAGCTACTCTAAATAGCTGGAAAACCAGTTTTCAGCAAACAACCCTGCTTCAGTGTGGAAAGGCCTGAAAGACATCACAAACTACAAGATGCCATCCCCCAGCACTGAGGTGAATCAACAACTTGCTGAAGACCTGAATGAGTTTTACTGCAGATTTGAAACTCCCGGCCTCACACCCCACACCCAATATGACCATCTCTCTATACAACCATTAACACCTCCAGCAACCTCCCTCCCCTCGCCTCCTACACATCAGATCAGTGAATGTCAGAGAAGAAAAGCACCAGGCCCAGATGGTGTTTCACCAGCCTGTCTGAAAACCTGTGCTGACCAGCTGGCCTCCATCTTTTCACAGATCTTTAACAGTTTACTGGAGCTGTGCGAAGTCCCTGCCTGCTTCAAACGCTCCACCATAATCCCCATTCCGAAGACCCCCAAAATCACAGGACTTAATGATTATAGAACTGTTGCCCTAACATCTGTGGTCATTAAGTCGTTTGAGAGACTAGTGTTGGCTCATCTGAAGGACATCACTGGACCTATGCTGGACCCCCTGCAGTTTGCTTATCGAGCAAACAGGTCTGTGGATGATATATATATCCAGAGTGAGGAAAATCACTCTGGATCCCTCGCATCCAAGCCATCTCCTTTTTGAACTCTTACCGTCTGGCTGGTACTACCCTACATCTTATTCCATTCATATATATTTGTGTGTGTATTTTATTCACATAGCTTTATTTTTTATTATCTGTGTGGTGTTGTTGTTGTCTCTGTGTACTGGAAGCTTCTGTCACCAGAACAAAGTCCTTGTATGTGCAAACATACTTGGCAATAAAGCTCTTTTTGATTCTGATTCTGATTCTGATGCTGGAAGATCATCTAGTTTTACACAAACTTGTGGCGTTCATGCAGGTTGAGTGCTGGTGACATTAAAGCTAAATGGGTACATACTAGATATTAAGACATTTAAATTACAAATACATGTCAAATCGGACAAGAATGCAAAATAGAAGCATTTTCACTAGTGGACTTTTTGAACCCTCTGTATGTAGAAGAAGGAACCAGGTTAGAAATGAAAGCTGAGATTTCTGTGCCAAGAATGGTGTAGAAAGAGCATATACCTGGATAAAAGTATAGTACATCAAAAGAGACGCCATCTCCTGACTTACTTTTGAGAGAGTCACAGCAGAGCCTTTCTTCCTGTGTAACCAGCGGTGACTCTCACTGTGCACAGTCTGTGCGTGTGTGTGTGTGTGTTGTCAAATCTATTGATCTGCTCCCTGTGTGGGAGTGGAGATGCTGTATGTGCTCTGCACTCGGCTGCAGCAGTTGTTCCCTGCCCTTTTCCACTCCACATTCACAGGAAATCAATCCTGTTAGCAGTTCTCCATCTCTCTCTTACTCTCTTCTTCTTACTCGCTGTCACTGTATGAGGCTGAAGTATCTATTAGGCACACAACAGCCATACTGTGCCCCCATCTTTACCAAGCCATGTGCTGCACACTCTTTATTAACACATCATAATGGAACCACAGACAGTCAGCTTATTTAGGATGGTTATTATGTTCTTTCTCCTGAATAATGAAGCCCCTCTGAGGATTTAACACTCCCCTGCTATCTTTTGCCTCCTCTCCTCCTTGCTCCCTCCCTCCTGCAGTCTCCCTCCCTGCCTCTTCCCCCATTTCTCATTCCACAGAGAGATGCGGTGCGTTTTTATTTTTAGGCTACTGTGGGGCTGCGTGGTGACTGTAGAGGAGGAGAGCAGGTGACTTATGGACAGGCAGGATAATTGGAACATTAAGTATAGCATTTCCTTTGTGGGCTAAACGAGTCCCTGTGGATCGGCGAGTGGAGCTGTGGTCACACTGCGGTCTGCCTATCTCTGCCTCTGTGTTCCCTTCTGAGAAGAATGGCATATGTTATGCTTTGGATGCTGGTGCTAGCTTAACCAGCAATGCTGTGTGTGTGACATTGTAAATCTAGAGACAGTGAATACTCAGATGCCTGCCGGATTGATATGACCAATATCTTGATTGCGGTGATTTGTCACTTTACGTGATCAATGATTGATATTGGCTAGTGATCATTAAAGCCAAAGATAAAGGACTGTATCATTGGTGATTAACTTTCAGCTTGCCCCCATGAAATACAGAATAAATTATGGTCATTGCCTGTTGTCCTCTCCATGTCAGTCCTTTTATAGTCGAAATGATAAAAGATTGGACAGAGAGAACAGTAGATAGATTACCTGTGTTGAATGTCTTTGAATTAAATTCCTCTACCTGCATTCAAATTCAATTTCACACTCATGAATTTAAAAAGAGCCTCTCACCACTGGACCAATGAGTAGATTACAACTTAGAGAAGTGCTTCCCAACCTTGTTCCTCACAGTACACACTTTGGATATTTTCCATATCTGACCCATCAGTTTCTGGTCTTGGAGTCTCTACTATGAGCTGATCAGTTGAATCAGGTCTGCTTGATTAGGATACATTCAAAAATTCACTGCCTTTTATCACTGGGCCCAGGACGACATTCCCAGTTGTCTCTCCCTGATGATGGCTCTGGCTGCTAGTAATTCCTGGCAGTGATTGGTGAAGCTTTTGCCTAAACAAGTTGTTAATATCCAATCCCCTGATGGAGTAATTAATATGGGGACTGTGGCTTTGACAGGAGACTTAACGATTGAGAGAAGTATGGAGTGAGGGAGTGAGAGTATGAGCATGATAGAGAAGAAAAAGAGAGGGAGGGAGGAAGAAAAATGGTGGAAGAACCATCCATCAGTGACTCAGCTCTCACTGCTG